CATATACAAACAATATTTAAATCATTAACGTAAAGTTGTTAGTTAATTATTACTATATTAAATAAACAAAATAAAGATATTTTAATATAAATTTCTTTCTGTAAGTCAATTATTATTTTTTAATATAATCATTTTATTGGTAGATATAAAATACAAAATTAGTTAAGAAAAAATTAAATGTTTTAGTTCTATGTCGTAATTTACAATTTTTACTTTTGTTCTATTTAAAGTTATTACAGGGTCCGAAGAAATTAACACTGGAAAACATATACCTGAATTTTTTTAAATCCTTATTTCGGGCTTCTTGTGCCTCTTCGGAAAGAATTCCTATTGGCATATGTTTTCCATCACCTCTTTCCCATGAAGTATTGATTTTGTAAACTGTGATTGGCATATAGTACCATGAATACAGCTCTACAAACAATTTTGCAGTTTCCACAGCAAAAACTCAAAATTTACTGGGATCGATTAAACTTTGGCACGTTATAGTTTGCAGTACAATTTAGATTTTTTTTATTAGTGTTATATCGACCCTCGTAATTTCGGTCAAGTCAATTATCAACTATTATAAGTCCCATTTTGGTCAAATTCTTGCTAAATTCTCTTTTTTCTTCTTCTTTGATGGCCGGTAGCTCCATTTTTTGAAAAGCAGATTGTATACAATATGCATTTTATCAAATTTATGCGGGCGTGTAAGGGGGACAATCCGAACTGAAACGCTTCCTCACTTGTGGGCTTGCAAACCACCTTTTCTAGGTCGTCTATTTCGGTTGGCTTTGCTTTGCAAATGAAGCATGTTGACGCAGAGGGGGTTTTTGTTACTATTTGGGCCGTTTTTCCATCAATCATGGTAAACTCCAATTTGTGTTTGACAGTAAAAGTTTTCCTAGATATAGTAACTTCTGTGTTATTTAACTTGTAAATTTGGTCCTTAATTAAATTGTAAGTCTCCAAAACCTTTTTCGGGGACTTGATAAATTCGAAATTTATAAGGCGACACCACCGGTGGGTGATGGTAGATTATTCCTCCAAATGGTCCTAGAGCTGGTACTAAGGGTACCAATGATGTCATGTAGATACTAATATCTGAGGATTCTTCTTGGATATTTGACTGGTTATATTGGAATTGACCAGACGCACCATCACATCCCCACTTACTAACCAAAATCATTGCGTCAATACCTTCCAAAATCCCTTTTGATGTATGGTTCAGAAGACTTTGCAAAATCACCTGCGCACTATAGTTTCGGAAACTAGTACCTACATATGTCATCGGGATAACATTCCTTTTTGGCTTCAAGAACTTTGTAATATGGTCATTGGCGGCAATTCTAAACAATTCGTATTCTGGATAATTGCGCGTCTGTTATCAATGCCAATGCCTATTGGTCATATGACTTATTAGAAGAGTTCTCAGGTGATTTTGCGGAATCCATAATCAGATTTATATCAACTGATTCCTTTCAATGCTGGACCTTATATCTTTTGGCTCAATCCCAACAATCCATGTACTCTTTGCTGGGTCTTCCAACCCCGGATTGGCCTGGTTGAAATTCGGGATGGGGTTCCTTTAATTCCAACTTTATTGCATTTTTTAACCATTTCTTGTTTTATTTGGAAACATTTCTTTTAAAGTTTTATAAAAAATATTATAGTTTCTATAATTATTTAAAAGTAAGTCAGTTAAAATATCAAAAGAAGCGCTTCATGGGATTTAGTATGACTGACCATATCATTTTCTACTCGTTAGGCCCTTTTATTCGATACTCATATTAAGGAGGTTGTTGCGGTCGCCATATTGGATTTTGTAAAACGTTACTAACCATTTTGTTTTCTAATTTAATTTAATATTCATTGTAAAGAAATGGGTAATCCGCTATATTATATTTGTCGTGTTTTTAAATAGGTAGGTACACTTTTATCATTTAAAATTAAAGGTAAAAATCACCATCATAAAAAGAATTGAGTGATCCCTCATTTTGAAGGTCATCTGACCCTTATTATATCCACCAAGTTTGCAGTCGTTAGCTCTTGTGATTAATTAATAATTAATACAAACACATTTTCCAAAATTTTGACAAGCTGTCATATCAACGGGGATGATAGAAGCGACTTTAAACTTGGGGGTTACAATCAGGGCATCACTCGACCCTTAAAAATTATTATCCCATTAAAAATGTTGGGGTTGAAAATATAAAAATAAATTGTACCTATAAAATAAAAAATCGAGCGAGCGTTTTTTGTTTTTTACTTAGACCTGAGAAAACTTACACATTCCACCACTACACAAGAAAACGTATAATATTGAGGCATTCTTACACTTCTTTCATAATAAATGGGTATATTATACGGACGGCTAAGTAACAAAACCAGGAATAGGCTGAGCCCACTAGCCAAACGCAATTTGATAGATATACAAAACCTAGCGGGGAAAAAACATTATTTTAGACTCCCAGGCAGCTTTGCAAAAAAAAATATGTAGCAAAAAACATATTCACTGACATACAAAGTTATGTTCGCACTACTAAATCTAGAAAAACGAAGAAAAACCCCAGCCACACAAACATCTCTGGAGAGGAGGTGACTGGTAAACCCGACAACCAAAGGTGCAAACTGACACAAGAGGAAGACCTCATAAAATTCATAAAACCTAACCAAATTTGACAGATTCTTATATCCCTATTCCCCAAAAAAACCTTGGATAGACTAAAGGTGGATTCATGCAAGCATGTCTTAAATTAACTTAACTTAACTTTGTACCAATCTTGTACTAATCTTTATCCCATGAAAATGAACCGTTCATAAATGTACTATTATCTATAGGATTTTACATGCGCATTACGTTTAGTGACCAAAACCAAAAATGTTATTATTACTACTTATCAGCGTTATTTGTTTGGCGCCAATTCGCGTAAAATTTGTTAAACAGTTTGTTTAAATTTTTAACCCGTAAGTAGGTATTCTCATGGCGATTACATATAAAAATATAAAACAAACCTACAAAATACTAAATTTTCAAAAATGTAAAGACAATGAAAGTAGCTACATTAGTCTATGAAGTTGGCTACATTACCAGTACATGCGCATTTGCCTATTTTTATTAAGAACTTAGGACATAAGGATCTTAAAGATAAAAGTAAACCAACTTTTCTTAGGATAAGGATTCAAATTAAGTTAGGTTAAGACGAATTTAAATTGCATGAACGGTTCCGCTCATTATTACAGTTTTATCTCTTTAAGATAAGGACAAAGACTAAGTTAGTATTAAGACATGCTTGCATGAATCCACGGTAATACATATGTCTACTATCCTGCATGTGGCGCGAAAGAACAAAGCATCCAATACCTACTTCTGGAATGTTCTTGATAGACCATATAAATACATTTCATAAAAGGTTATGTAGTAAATACCTAAATTTCATCAACTTCTCAACCCTTCTAAACTACCTGTTAACCGTTTCCTACATGTGGCGCGAAAAAACAAAACATCCGATACCGACTTTGGAATGTCCTTGATAGACCATATAAATACATTTTACAGAAGGTTAAGTAGTAAATACCTAAATTTCATCAACTTCTCAACCCTTCTAAACAACCTGTTAACCGTTTCCACGTAGCTACGCGTAGTAGTAGCTGTAGTAGCTTTATTTGGACGATATTAACCTAACGCTTTGCTTTTCTATGCTTTGCATGGAAATAGATATAAATCATTAGCACGTAACACCACGGATTTCGAGAAAAAGCCTACACCACTGGTCGATATGGTTTTTCCAAACCAAGGCCAATAATAATAATAGGAAGAAGAAAGCATTTATTTTATCTATTAATAAAATCTTAAAATAAGTCCAAATAAACCACGATCGAATAAAATTAGTTGAAAGTTATTGCTGCTCAACTTTCGAATATCTATTTAACTACCGTAAACACGGGTGGATTTGGCTCACTTTCAAACTTCAGCTTAAAATTTTTGTAGTTTTAACAATCATAAACATTAAATTTTGTATACCAAAATTTGAGTCTTGAGTTGCTCTTTCATAATAACTATGTTATAATATTTCATAGGGCTGAGTTTCAAAAATAAACATTAAAAACTGGGTGTGCAAAGTTACCCCCTGGTTGCGGGTTACTTTGTCTTAGTGTTTTTTCAGTATAAAATGAATGTAATATTATATTTTATTTTTATTATACACGTGTTAGCAGCGACATATATCTATTGCAAGGGATTACCATTAAAAAAAATAAAAAATCGACCTGTAGTTAACCAAGGATCATCATTCCAATGGATTGCGCATAATATAGAAATTGTAACGCGTGTATTTCTAAGAGTTTTGCACTGATACGATATATACAATTTTAAAGTGTAATAAATCCCATTTCTTTCTTTAAAACACTGATTTTCCTGTAATATAAACTCAATAGAATCGCTCAATTGACAGGTTTAGACCAACAAATTATAAATGTTAATTTTATCGAGCGCGAAAAGATTTTTCATAAATGGGTTAAAGTCACCCGCGGGGTGCAAAGTCACCCGTATTTACGGTACATAGTATACCAAACATTTTTCGAAGAGGAGTAAAAATTCTGACGGAATTCAATATTTAACATAACCTGAAATATAGCGAAAAAACGAGTTTTCCCCTTTTGCATACAATTTCTCACTTCGCATGACACTTGTCGTGATGTGATAACCTAGTTTATGGCTTAAAATTGTGATGCCTGTAATAATAAAATACCATTAAATTAAATGCCTAAAAGATTTAAACCAGCAATTGACCAATATATATTTAATTTCGGCCTGCTATTAAAGCATTTGTGCTGTTTTAAATTATAATTTGTGTGTATTTTAAGAAAATCCCCACTATATTGCTAAAATATGGAAGCTAGCAGGATAGTATTTTATGTATAAAGTGTATAGTTGCAATGTTTTATAATAAAACTTATTATTTTTAAACCTTTGATTCTCATCAAACATATTCAATAGGCAAAGACATTAAAAAAAGTTATTTATTATATATTTATATTAAATATCATATTTTATACATTAATACAAACTTACCTAAATATACTTATTAACAATATAATTATTATTTAATACTTATTTAAATTGGTGTAAGCTAATTCTCAGCCCAATTGTGTCTTTGCCAATTTCAGAAACCTTACAAACATTACATACATTGCCTTTATATTTAGGTAAATAAGATGCACCACATAATGGACATTTTTCTTCAGGTTTTCCTCTGTAAATGGGGGTGTATGAATAACCACAAATCGAAAATGGATTATGTTCATCGTAATTTAATTGAAGTTCATCTGTTAAATTAGAGTCACAGGCCTGTAAAATTTTTCTTGCCTGCTGAGCCACCTCAGGACGTGGGCCCAATTCCAATAGCCTCTTGGCCAGCGAAGACGCAGTTTTGTAGTTTTTTACTTTAAAGAACATATTTAAGGCAGTACGTAATGTTAAAATTTGATGAATAGGCTGTAACTTGCAATGCGTAAAGTAGGCAGCCATTTCACATTGGCGTTTTTGTTCTTCAATGGATGTTTTCGGCAAAGATTTTCTAAACGTTTCCATCTCTAAACCACAAATATACTCACTACATATTTTAAGCAGTTGATGCGCTTCAGAAAGTTCTTGTTTATTGTCTACCACTAGTAAAGTTACTGATAATAAAAGATTTTCAAATCTTTCTATAGCCTCAGTAAATTTTCCACCTGTGGTTAATTGATAACATACCTAAAAATAAATAACAGTAAAAATGTATTGCATGAAATAAAATATAATATAAAAGACCCTTCTAAGATCATTATTTTGACAAGATACAAATCAAACATTTAAATGTTGGGTTGCAAATTATTAAACAGCGTGATTGCGAAGAAAAAGTTTCCTTGCATAAGAACAAGAAAAAACGTCCTATGAACTAGATTACAAAAACGCTTTCTTTTCCGAAATACAGAATAAATATACTTTTTTGTAATATCTAAAAAACCATAACAATAACAATATAACAAACGTCATGACAAAAATGTTTTCTGATTATATCTGCATTTTTAGCAAGTGAGTACTTCCTGAAAATGAAGCGAATAGATTTTTTTTATCAAAACAAATTAAAAGCAGCAATTATTTCTTATTGAGTATACCGAATGTCCGTAAAATGGCGGAGCACAGTTTGCCATGTTGTAGCCTTACGTTTTTTTTTGACATTTCGAGTTATTAAGTATTTAAGTGTAAAAAAACTCGGCAACGCTGTGTATTTTTAAAGCCGATTTAAGATAAATCGAAAAACGGTCGATATGGAAAAAAAATATATAACTCATCTACAGCGACTTAACATGTTTAACAGATGCTTTCTTATAGTTCCTGTCAGAAAACTTTCACATCATAACTTTGTTATTATTAACAAATTTTACTTTTATTTTTAAACGTTTTATATTAATGACTATAAAAAAAATATTCAATTTTTAAATCTTAAAATAACCCTCCCCCTACAAAACAAATAAATTAAAAGCAGCAATTATTTCTTATTGAGTATACCGAATGTCCGTAAAATGGCGGAGCACAGTTTACCACCTTGTAGCCTTACATTTTTTTTCGACAAGTACCTAGTTATTAAATATTTAAGTGTAAAAAAACTCGGCCGATTTAAGAAAAAATCGAAAAACGGTCGATATGGAAAAAAATATATACAACGCATCTACAGCGACTTAACATGTTTAACAGATGCTTTCTTATAGTTCCTGTCAAACTTTCACATCATAACTTTGTTAGTATTAACAAATTTTAACTTTTAAACGTTTTGTATTAATAACTATAAAACAAATATTCAATTTTAAACCTTAAAATAACCCTCCCCCTACAACGTGGTATAGGAGAAGTATATTCCCTAAGAATAACGAAATATTATTGCACAGAATTTAGACATTTTTGTGTCTCCTGAAAATGGCGGACCAACAATATACATATTGTTCCCCTACAACGTGGTATCGGAGAAGTAGAAGGTGTGGCAAAAGTAATGTCGTAATGTAAATTGCGTGCTGCCATTTTGTTGGAAAAAAAATTGGGCTCTGTTTTAACGGAAAGGTGTAAAATTGATGACATTAAGTTGAAAAAATGATATAGGTCAAATGACCACCTGATTTGATGCACATTTGTGCTCGTTTTACGGCATTTTGAATTGTGGTTCACAAAAAATCTGGCTCCAAATTCGTAATTTATTCTTCAATTGTTGCAAAGTTTGTGGTTTGTTGTGGTTTACTCGAGATTTTAAAAAGCCCCAAAGGAAGAAGTCTGGAGCCGTCAGATCTGGCAATCTGGCCGGCCAGTTTAAATCCCCAAAACGGGAGATCACACGGCGCGGAAATTGGTGTGTCAAAATCTACATCGTTGCCCGAGCTGCGTGAGCGGTTGCTCCGTCCTGCTGGAACCAACAATGCTCGAGACCCAATTAAGCAACTTGCGGAAAAAAATCGTTTAACATCTGTCTGTAACGCTAACCAGTAACGGTTACGGCAGTACCGTTGGCGTCCTCAAAAAAATAAGGGACGATAACTTTTTCACTGCAAATGCCGCAACAAACAGTCAGTTTAAAGGGGATGCAATGGCTCTTCGTGTCCCAGAAACACAAATTTTGTTTGTTTACATAACCACTTAAGTGAAAATGGGCTTCGTCGCTCATTAGAATTTTTTGCGAACCACAATTCAAAATGCCGTAAAACGAGCACAAATGTGCATCAACTCAGGAGGTGGTCATTTGACCGATATCATTTTTTCTTAACTTAATGTCATCAATTTTACACCTTTAATTAAACTTTCCGTTAAAACAGAGCCCAATTTTTTTATATTCGAACAAAATGGCAGCAAATTTACATTACGACATTACTTTTGCCCCACCTTGTATATTCCCTAAGAATAACGAATATATTAATATCATCAGAGTAAATAATGCGCATTATTTCGAGTATAATACTATGCTTTTTCTACTCCAATTAAGTAATTTTCATTGATAACAAAATTTATTATAACCTCACTTTTTCCCGATTTCAAAGATCATTATAGTCGCCCCTCGTATATATAAACAAATCTGACATCTGTTTACCTTACATTTTCCAAATTTTAAACCCGATGGGTTCAAATAACAGTGAATATTGAAATCAGACAATCACTGATGCCTAACAACGTGAATAATTAGTTCAATATTCCCTTTTTTGGGCCAGGCGGTTATATTGGTTACCATTATTTACGAAAAAAAAAACAAAATAATGTCAATAATATGCAATAGGAGTAAAACCAATTTAATAATACGAATGTGGGAATTGTGCATAAAAAGTCTATTATTTTAGTATTTTACAAGAAAAGTTGTATTTTAAGATTTGAGAGTGAAGAGTTAAAACGACATTGACATAAAGGAAAATTATTTCATATTTATGTAACTACCAAACGTATTTACGCGACATGCACTAGGCACTAGCGAGTCGCATGATACAACAATCATAAGCGCGATGTATCGTTTAGATCTGGATAACAGAACATAAAACGTACTGCGTTTGGTCCCGAACTGTGAGCCAGTATCAGATCTGACCGGTATCAGATCTGACCGGATCGCTGTGCACCAGGGCTGGATGCTCCCGTGTCCGAGTTTTGGTTCGTGCCGCGCATGACGTCACTTGATGAGTAGTTGCCGTGCGAATACACGAATAATAGTAATATTATCAAAGAAAATAGAGAAATATCTGGACAGTGCGTTTTTATTAAACTTAATATTGAAGAAAGTGTTATAATATGGATAATAGATGCTTTCAGTCCTTGATAACATTTAGGGCTGTAGTTTAAGCGTTGGTGTTTTAAATTAAACTTATAGTCACTTTCCAGAAAATGTTTATAGGAAACAGAAGCTGTCTTAACTTTAATATTGTTTATTCTTTTTGTGGCATTTAACCACTGTTTGCACAAATCAAAGTTTTTCGGGAATCGATTAAATTAAATGTTTTAGGGTTTTTCTTGGACTGGTTGTCCGAATTGCATCCAAATATGCCACACCGCATTTAAATAAATGCTTACCGAACGCAAAACAACAAGTTAAACAAAAAACAAGTTCATCCAACAGCATCGCAAAAACAAGAATTTTAGCAGTGCATAGCTGTGGGTCGCGGGAGAGGTATCGACTCACTGCAGTGCACGGCCGAGACCAACTCCAACACAGTTTTCTGGTTCGCTGACCCGTGAGCCGGTTTGTTAAATTTTGTGAACCGGTTCACGTAGCTTAGTCCTAAGATTCAGTTCACTGAGCCGCGGCTAGCCGGTTTAGATCTGATCGACACATCTCTATGTGTGCCTGATGAGCTAAAATATTATACCCAGGCAAGAAAATTTACTCAAAAATGCATTATTTATTAAATAAAATAAATCTATAAAACGCATATTAAAATATTACAGGCTTTGTTCATAGAATATATAATTTATTGCCAAAAAAACTTATCTGAAACTACGAGCCCTAACCACATAATGTTCGGACACTTCATAATTTATACAGAAATTTTTTTCGTGAATAATATCTCAAAATTATTAGAAGTTATGAAAAATTCAGCTTATTTTGGCATATACCCCTCGAAGCGATTTTTATTTTTAAAAAGTTTACCTTTTATTTTTAGCTTTTAAAAAAAGGCTAACTTTTTAACTTTTTTTTGTATGAGTAAAAAAAGTTATAAATGGACCCATTAAAAAGAGCATAAAATATTATACAAACCCTGAAAATTTGGTAAAAAATAAATAAGTTATAAAAAAGTATAAGTAATTTAAAAATGCTATTTTTAAAGAGTTTTTGCAATTTTCTTAGGAAACGGGAGATTTTGCAGATATATATATCGCTATAACTTTCTTATTATTTATACAATTTTTACCAAATTTTCAGGGTTTGTATAATATTTTATGTTCTTTTTAATGGGCCCATTTATAACTTTTTTTAGTCATGCAAAAAAAAGTTAAAAAGTTAGCCTTTTTTTAAAAGCTAAAAATAAAAGGTAAACTTTTTAAAAATAAAAATCGCTTCGAGGGGTATATGCCAAAATAAGCTGAATTTTTCATAACTTCTAATAATTTTGAGATAGTATTCACGAAAAAAATTTCTGTATAAATTATGAAGTGTCCGAACATTATGTGGTTAGGGCTCGTATACTTTTTTAAGTTTTATAAATTTCATATAAAATATAATTCTTGTATCTACTCATATTGCATAATATTGAATAATGATAAACACTATAAATTCCGTGCCTAACAATGTGAATAATAAACTCATTTAACACGTTGTTAGGCATTAGTGATTGGCCGATTTCAATATTTAGTGATTTGAACCAATCGGGTTTTAAATTGGGAGAAGGCGACTATAATAACATTTTTAATTGGTAAAAAGTGAGGTTAACCATTTAACAGATGTCAGATTTAATTTATTCATTTTTGAAAATCATTTAATTACTGAAGTGGATAAAGAAGAGTATTACACTCGAGATTATGCGCATTATCTCTCGTACACGGTTATATACAGGTCTTGCAACTCCAAGTTGCGACGTGGATCTATGTACGTGCTAAGCCCGTTAGGGGCCGCAGATATATAGGGGCTAAAGGTGAAATAAACTACTACAGTTACTGTAGTTCCTATTAGTCTTATGTTCTCAGAACATTGTTACTACATCAGTTCGATTTTGTCTTTCGTGTGTGGTGCATCGCACTTTCATCTCTGGGACATTGCTTGATGAAAAGTTTGAAACATAGCTGACTTTGACCCAGGTGGGACAAAGTTGAATTCCGGGTATAGAAATATACCTGTATTTTTGGACAATATCGCAAGCTTTGACCTTCTAGAGAGGTATTTTGTGATTTGTACAATACATTGAGCGGATGATCCAAGATTTGGAAAATTCATGTGTCTATTGGTGGATGGCTTTGTGAAGCACATTGACATAAAACTTGTTGCTGGTCAAGTTGGTGCATTGAAACCGAGACCATTAAGGCCTTATGCCACCAACGAAGAAGAAGAAGAAGGAAAAAACTACATAAACATAACCCTAGACCAAACCAATAGATGTTTTTTTCATATTGGTAACCTTGGGAATTATTTTAGTTTCTTTGAATCCAAAGGTGGCGCTGCAGACTGCATACGTAATGGCAACGCAGCATTTATTTTCTAACCTGCAAGTTGGTGTGACGTCGTTAGCTTTGTTATTGTACATTTCAAGTTTTTGGTTGTGCATTATCTGTAGTTAAAGTGGTGATAATATTTGAGTTTAAGAAGTATTATAATCTTGACGTTCGGTTTACTAAACAAATCTGTCTTTTTAAAGACAATTAAATCGTTCCTGTATTTGCCAAGGTAAGAGTTTTATACTTTCGTAGTATCTTTATAATTTTATATGATTTTTATTATTTTTCTATACAAGATTTAATAGCATTCTTAGATGCATTGATAACAGCACAATCCACACAATTGTGGATAACAGTAACAGTATATTGAACTAAACAATATACTTTTTAACTGCAAAATTGTCACAGTAAATTATAAATGTTTGTTTTGTATTACAGATGGTTGGCTTTTATTGTGCAGTTGACACTTGCTGGGGATCCACGGCAAGTAAACATACATTTCCAAATCCCAATAAAAATAATGACTTATTTAACAAATGGGTTACGCTGTGTAAAAATAAAAGATTGATGGAAATGGAACCCAAGAAAATATATACCAACTGCAGAGTGTGCAGGTTACATTTTACAGAGGAAGATTTCGAAAGAAATAATAGGCTTAAACGCAAGACTTACCCAACAAAATCTTTACCAGGTAAGTTAACAATTTACCTGCTATAATATTTTATTACTTACTCTAAAATCTTCAGGTAGCTGGTTATTTACCTGCTATAATATTTTATGATTTACTCTAATCTGTAATTTTTGAAATTTTAGGTTGTGAGGATACTTCAATCTCCCAAACACTGCCAGAATCTGATGTTGATATAGTGAATGTTTTTGTAGCAGATGATCATGATTACCTATCAAAACCAATTTCTTTAGTACAACCTGTACCATCAACTTCATCATCTCAAAATGAATCTGATGTTGATATAGTGAATGTTTTTGTAGCAGATGATCATGATTACTAGGGATGGGATATTTAGGTACTAAAAACTGAAAAATAGGTAACTAAAATGGTACTAAAAAAAAGCATTTTAAGTTAAAAAAACAGCATTTTAGGTAAAAAAAAATTAAAAGTTTAAGTTTCGTTTATAATTTTGTTTAGCCGCATACCCAAACACAGAACATACCCACAATAAACTATTTATATGCAATAAACTGTATTTTACTGAGTGACACTCACTACACAGAAGTTCTATGACAGAACTCACTAGTAGTGAGTCACTACAAAGAAGGTAACTGTAAAGAAAGTTAGTGTTACAGTCTGTAACCATAAGAAAATATTCTATACCGTTGAGTTGCACGCCCTGGATAAAATATTGGCGCAAATTTTAAAAAGAACAAAAAAAATAAAATAAGTAAAAATACGTAAAAATAGGTAACAAATATATGAAAATAAACTGACAAATTAAAAAATATGTAACAAAAGTATAAAAAGGTAGTTTAAAGCAAAAACCTCCAAAAAAGGTAAAAAAGGTGAAAAAAAGTTAAAAAAATAGGTAACAAAAGTATAAAAAAGGTAGTTAAAAGCAAAAACCTCCAAAAAAGGTAAAAAAGGTGAAAACAAGTTAGGTTCATATAAAAGGAAATCTTTTAAAACACATTTTGGCATTATTGGTTTTCAAATAGTTACATCGGTTAAAAAAAGGTAAAATAACTAAAATCCCATCCCTAATGATTACATATCAAAACCAATTTCTTTAGTACAACCTGTACCATCAACTTCATCATCTCAAGATGAAATAATTTTAAATGCCCCTTTAACATAGAGATGTGCTCGGAGATGTGTTACTCCTAAAAATGGTAAATATATAAAAAGTGTTCAAAACTACAAAAGAGAAACAGATGCTTTATACTAATTTTTGTTTTTCTTCTTTTACAGTTTATCGAAGAAAGAGTAATATATTACTATCTATTGGATTAACTCGCCAAGCACAGCTTACACCAAAAAAAAAAGAGTTTGTACAAGCAGCTTACCAATTTGAGGAAAATTAATTTTCATTTAAATTTAAGAAAAAGTAATTTAAAAAAAAGATTATTTATGGCCACTAAATTTTACAAAAAAAATAGCTTTGAAAATCTGGTACATGATTTAAAGCCCATTCAAAAACGTTTCTTTGAATGCCAGTTGGAAAATGCGAACAAAAAACAAAAGGTCGAAGATATACAGAAAACGATAAAGTTTTTGCTCTGGCACTTTTAAAACAAACAGGTCCTGCTTATAAATACCTGTCAAATATATTTAGTTTACTATCAAGACAAACAATATTAAAATTTTTAAGCAAGATAACGATAAGGCATGGCTTCAATAATGTTATTTTTGATGCCCTAAAAGCAGAATCAAAAAACTTTAAAAATGATCTAGATAAATATGGCATGCTCATTTTAGATGAAATGTCCATTTTAACCCAATTAGGTTATAATCGTAAGGACGACAAGGTTGTTGGATTTGATACAACTGAGACTGATAGTAGTGAGTTTGCAAATCATGCGCAGGTAATATTTTATATAAAGTGCATTATATTTTTATTTTATTTTTATAGGTGTTTATGGTTCGAGGAATTAGGCAGAGGTGGAAACAACCAATGTTGATTAATTTTCATGCTGGGCCAGCAAAAAGTTTATATATTGCCAATACTATAAAAACTTTAGTGAAAAAACTAAAGGAAGCAGGATTCATTGTGTGCTCAGTTATTTGTGATCAGGGGACAAATAACTGTGCTGCACTTTCATCCTTAGTTAAACAAACAAGGGAAGAAAAACTAAGGAGGGGTGAGGAGATGGACATATCAGAATTTTTCTTTGAAGTTGATGGACAAAAAATAATTCCTCTCTTTGACCCGCCCTACTTAATAAAGTGTGTAAGGAATAACTTACTAAAAAATAATTTAGTATATTTTTCTAATGGAAAAAATAAAATTGCAAAATAGAATCATTTGGTAACAGCATACAAAATGGATCCATACTTTGGAAGTTTAAGAAGTATGCCAAAGCTCACTGACTTCCATGTTTTACCAGAAAAAAATAAAAAAATGAGAGTTTCACTCTGTACACAGGCAATGAGTAGAACAGTGGCAGTAGCTATTAATTTAATGGCCTGTTCAGGTAAATATAGTAAAAAATGTATTCCTTGATATTTATTAAACCATACAATCTTTTTTAAGTGTCTACATAAATAACGTTTTTCTTTATAATTTCATAAACAACTGTTCAAGTAGATGGGGAAGTTTTAAAAATGGAGAAGGAGGCTGTGGATACAGCAGAGTTATTTGAATTTTTTGATAACTTGTTCGACAGCCTTAACTCTGTAGGAAGATCCCCAAAATCTCTAAGAAGACCAGTTCGGGAAAACTCGCCTCATTTTCAATTTTGGGAGGAGGCTATCAAAAAACTCCGTAAAATGGAGTTTGTCAATGAAAATAACAAAAGCATAAGACCACCTTAACAATTTCATTAAGACAATAAAAAATTTCAATGGTTTATTTCAACTTTTAAGGGGATATGGTTTTGAATTTATGAAAACCAAGATCCCCTCGAAAACTTTTTTGGACAAATGCGCCAACATGGGGGAAGATATGTAAATCCGACATGTGAGGCCTTTACATTTTTTTTTTTAAAAGCCTACTTATCAAACATTTGTCTTCTAAACATTCTTCAGGAAGTAATAGTGAGGACGATAAAAATGACATGTTTCTTAGTTTAAAAAATCTTTAAAAAATAATATTTACTTGAAATAATTATTTTTCATAGATTTACTATATTTTTTTACTTTTAGGATTCACAAAATAATGAAGAGGACCTTGGATTTGGAGAACCACATTTGGAAATTCATTTTCCTGAGCCTAATGAAATTCAATTTATAGAAAGCCAGGTTTTAAGTTATGTTTTAGGCTTTCTTTTAAAAAAAATTAAACCTATATTAATTAAATGTAAAATGTGTAGAGAAAAATTATTTACGAATGCACCAGGTAAAGACCATACCTTTGTATCCAAAAAGGAGTACAATGCTAATTCCAGGAGCCTTATTTATGTTCACCCAAATTTTAAAAAACAGTTATGTTCCATGTAGGTATATATATTGTATATATTGGAACAAAAACATATTTGAACAATAATTTAAATAAAAACAATATAATTTCCTCCTTAAGGTTATCAATAAATAAAAAAGTTTTTACCTGCGACAAACATATTCATTTCAATAGAATAGTTGTTAATAAATTTATAAATGTCAACCTATTTAATTATATCAAACAAATAAACAATATTTTAAATTTAAAAGATGGCCGTAAGTTGACTGCCACTGCTCCTAAAATATTTGTTAAGGCAAGAAATGTGGCTTTGAAAAAATTTCATAAAAAAATGTTTAAATATTAAAAACCACCTATTTAATTTTATAATGTACAGGGTGATCCCCTATAATGTCGCCCCCCTTTAACTTTTTTATTTTAAGTGTCCCAAAAAATTTAAAAGTGTGGTTATGTAGGAACTAAAAAATACTTTTTTTCTATGTTTAAAGAAAATTGGAAAATTGATCAGTATACAGGGAAAAACAAAAAGTTTATTTTTTTTCAATGGATCACCCTATATATGTATTTATTTTTCGATTCCTTGTAAAATTCTAAGCATATTTCATATAACATACCATATACCTAAACTCAACCGTTTCTGAAATATTTAAATTATTTTTAAGATAATAATTTGAAATAGTTTGTCTTTCTCTTTCTGACTACGCCATTTTTACTTATTTAACAAGACATATTGACATAGTGTCATTATAGTAATTTATTTTCAATTAAAATTTTGGTATACTGAGGCTTCTTGATTTCTAACAGTTTAAAAAAACATTTAATAATAACATTTCGAATGCGAATATTTCAGAAACAGTTGAATTTAGGTATATGGTTATTATATGAATTATGCTCAGAATTTTACAAGGAATCGAAAAATAAATTCATATATAGGGTGATCCATTGAAAAAAAATAAACTTTTTGTTTTTCCCTGTATATTGATCAATTTTCCAATTTTCTTTATACGTAGAAAAAAAGTATTTTTAGTACCTACATAACCACACTTTTAAATTTTTTGGGACACTTAAAATAAAAAAGTTAAAGGGGGGCGACATTATAGGGGATCACCCTGTACAAGTAAACTATATATTTATTTGCATCCTACAGGCCGATGGCCAAATAACAGTGTATTATAAATTATAATTACAATTTATTTATATTTTTATCTCAGAACTTTATCTTAATCTATATCCCATATCCTGATCTTTTGAGTAGGTATGCATATTTTATTTTATACCTAAATGGAGTAAAACTTCTCTAACTCAAATTTAAAGGGACCAGAAAAAATTTATATTGGAGGAATCCAGTTTTGCTTATAGAAATATTTGAGTGAAAGAAATTTGAGTTAGGGCAAATACATCTAAAATGGCCTAAACATCAGTGTTTGTGAAAAAAAAGTTAAGTATACTTATTTGTTTTATTGCATATTATAACAATTATTGTTAATTAACTTCCAGGGTTTAATAATGTAATAACTATGTTAATTTATTACATTAAATATATTAAATTAATATATTAATATATAGGTATATAATATAATATTGAATATTATTTCATACAATATAAATGTATTATATCTACAACTCCTAATTTCTAGTGAATAAAAATTACACTTGAGATCTTAAATTGTAATAAATAATAATAATTTTAGAAAATATATAAATTGATATAGCTCAATATATATCCTAGGAACCCTATTATGTTCTATATTTATTTTACAAAAAACTTGACTTTATAAATGCATTGTTATTGTATGAAACTCTTTATTTTTTAAATTAATATTACAATTAATTAGTTCTTGCTCAGCAATATATATAGGTATACAGGGTGTCTCACCAGCGATGGTACCTTAGACGTTTACGGAGAACGGCTGAGGATATCAATTTGAAATTTTTATAGCAATTATTGTACAATTTAATCTACCTTTTAAAATTATTTTAAATAAAATTCCTCTTTCGGTTTAACCGGAAGCGACATCAACTTTGTGAAAAATGAAACACCCTGTAAATTTTTTTATTTTTTAATTCCTCATGAAATTCTTAATGAAATTGCTGTACCATTCCCTATACCTAAACTTAATAGTTTTCGAGTTAATATTTTTTTTCGTAAAATTTTGACAGTTGCACCTTCATTAAAAATTGCTTATAACTTGTTTGATATTCGGTTTGCTGGTATGCTGTAAGGAGTTTTGGAATCTTAAAACATTGTTTTAAAGATTCCATGTCTGAAATTTTCATATTTATGATCAAAAACCAGAGAAAAATCGTGGTAAATTTGGTTAACTTCAAACATTAATAACTTGTTTATTTTCAATGGAACGGTATGCATGTTTTTACATAATCAAATAGGAAAATGAATTACATTTCGATTGGTATAACCATTCCCTATACCTAAATGGTAAGGATTCGGAAATACAAGCAAATTTCTGTAAAAAATCCAATATTTTGACATATTTATCTCAGATACCGTTGAAATGTCACAACAAATTAGTTATGTCATTGATTGACAGTTGATACATTTCTTAATCAAGTGGTGTTAAAAATTTCCAAAAGCGTTCAAAAATTAAGTAAAATGGATAGAAACAACTATTCCAATGAGGTTTTGATGCAAATAGGAGGGCCACAACGGAATCTCCCAGACAGCGCATTTTAAAATGTTTGACTTGAATTCAAATTAATAACTACAATTTTTAGGTCTTTTACTTTCTTCTTCAGTTTATGGTTTTGGTGTTTCAACAACCTTACTTCAATTCTGCTGTTGACATACTTCTGCCTCATCAATTCCTACCTTCTTTATCTTAAAAATCATTTCACTAAATATTTTAGTTGGTACTCAATATTTATCAGCTGTGGAATGACAGGTAAATTTTATCTTGTAATTTGGGTTTAAATTTATATGTGGGTGTTTTTCATTTACAAGCCTGTGAAAATGAACCAAACAGGCTCTCAGGATTTTAACACCACAAAAACGAAAAAACCATAGAAAAAAATGTTAAAAAAAAAAAAAATTAAATAAACATTATTATTTGAATTTAAATTTAAAATTTAAATAAACATTTTTATTTTTCCATTTTAAGTGGGCAATCATAGTAGAAAATAGCGTCAATTTGGTAGCATCGTGTGAACACCCTAGAGGCGACAAAGTCGCTGCAACTGGTCGCCGCGAGAAGTTGCACCCTCACACAGTGGGCTAGAGAGCCAATTTAACGCGAAGAAATTATTTGGTTAAGTAATTCTTAGTTAATGTTAATTTTTTTAGGTCTTATTGATAAAATTTCAATAAAAATTACTTTTTACTACCAATAGAAAAACAAATCGACAATATAATACTTTAACAAAAGTTTATTTGTGTGAAGGCAAAATTAAGATCTAGTTTTAATGAGTAAATTACAAAAATATAACTGAACTATATAAAAATAAAACCTAATTGTTACGTATGACAGTATTTTATACAATAATATTACTTCTGGGCTTTCAGCGTTTTTCTATATTTTTTGAAAAAAATTAAATTTTTGAATTAAGTTTTTTCCGAGATCCATTTACTTTTGTAAATGCATAGTCTACTAAGTAATTTAAAAGCAACTTTCTATTAAAATGCTTCAAACAAAAAATATTTGTGGCGCCTACTAGCACTTGATTTTATATTTATTTAAAAGAATTTAAAAGCTATTAAAAACACTTAACAGAGAGTGTGAGAATGCGTGACATTTTTTAAAAACTTAGTATTGTTCATACATACATAAAAAATATGCAGCGCTTTCTTTATTGAGGTAGGGACAGTACAATAATTATAAAAACTTACCATTATTTGTTTCAGCCATAACGTATGACAGTATCGAATACAATGATGGTCAAAAATTAAAAATAAATGAGGAATTAACATTGTAAGAGAAGCAAAACCTTCACGCGCAATTTACCAACACAAAGCAAGTAATTATAATTCTTAAATTTTGACTGGTTATCTGATAAAAATTTGAAAGTGATATAACATTATTTGATTTGCTACAAATATTAAAAAATTCAAAATTCACTAAATTTTGTCGAAATAAAACACTTACTCATTTTAAATTTTCGCGCGCTGGAAGCGCTCTCTAGCCTACCGCGGTGGTGGCAAAAAGTATTAATATTGACTAATAGTTATCAGTAATTAATTTAAAATTATTAATTGTTATTAGTAGCTTTTTAATTGATGGTTTCCATCACCAATGTATGACAATATTTAGTACAATGATATTTCTTCTGGGCTTCCAGGGTTTTTCTATATTTAAAAAAAAATTTGAATAATTTTTTTTTTCGAGATAGGTACATCTATTTTTGAAAATGGGTAGTCTACTAAGTAATTTAAAACTAATTTTATATTGAAATGCTTTAATCTAAAACACTTTTCACAAATCTCCGTATGAGTTAGGGATAATGTATTAACTGAAAAAAATAAACAAACCATATTTGTTGCGCTTAGTAGCACTTGATTTAAGATTTATTTGAAAGACAGAACGATAAGCTATTAAAAAAACCTAAACACAAAGTGTGACAGTGAGTGACATTTTTTAAAACCTTAATAATGTCCATACATACATTAAAAGTATGCAGCGGTTACTTTATTAAGGTAGTGACATTACAATAATAATAAAAACTAACCATTATTCGTTCCAGCCATAACGTATGACAATATTTAATACAATTATAGTCAAAAAGTAAGAATAAATTAATAATAAACATTGTAAGAGAAGCAATACCTTTACGCGCAATTTATCAACAGGAAGCAAGTAAGTATAATTCCTAAACTTTGAATGGTTACCTGATAAAAATTCAATAGATTTGAAGGTAATTTAAAGATGTTTCATTATCTACAGATATTAAAGAATTCAAAATTCCCTTAATTTGGTCGAAATAAAACACTTACTTATTTAGAATTTTTTCGCGCTAGAAGTGCGCTCTAGCCTACTGTGCCTCAGCTTAAAGAACCTATTGCATCTGTTTTTAACTGTCTTTAACTTTTAACTTTGCTGGTAAAAGAAAATCGGAGTTCCTACATAATATGAATCAAAGCGAACATGTTACACTACCGTGACAAGTACAAATACTCTCCTCCTTATAGGGGGAACACTGCCCTACTATGGAGATAGGCAGTAACTGCAAAAAAATGCAAAATGCCTTTTCTTGTGCTATGGTAAAGCTATGGACATTTTGTAACCGAATTCAACCCAGAAATGCAGTGAAATATCTCATTAGTTAAAAAAAATTAATTAAATACATACTGCTTTTTATAAAAATAAAGTTTATGCTAATTTTCCACAAGTTTCTTGTTTAGCATTTACTGCCTTTCTCCATAATAGGGCAGAACAGGGGGTAACTTTAAAATTTTCAATGGAACATGTTCCAACTAGCATTTTTATATTTTATAATACCAAAACGCTTCCGACACAAACATTATAAAACAAACATTACTCTCAGAAACGCTTTCAAAATGTTTATAAGACAGCTATAAATGTAAAATTGGCACCACTTTATAAAACATTTCAGTTTTGGTTAGTACATATTTTGTAAAAGCCTTTGGAAACATAATAAAATTATTTTATAAACATTTCGGCAAGTCTTTACAAAATAATTACCAAAGAGTTTTGTTAAAGCTTTTTATATCGCGCTATAAAATATACTTTACAATAGTATAAACATTTTTATAAAACAACTATATAACAATTTTATAATAGCTTCCTGGAAACAATATAAAATAAAAATCCATATTGGAATTACAGTAACAAAATAAAAAAAGTTTTTTAAAGATGTTCTAAATGCTACAATTTTGATTTGTGCCAAGGGAAATTGAACGACCCGAGGCCATTAGCAAAGAAGCCATTTTAATAATACCTTAAACACTATATATTTAAAAACTTTATTTGTGCTACAGAGATAGACACTTTTGATGCCAGGGAAATTTTATTGAGAAATATATAGCATATTTCTAAAAAAATTTAATTGCGCCCCGTATTTTCCAGTGTTTTAGGAAATTTTTTTAAATAATAAAAAAATCTAACTTCCCCAATATGATAATTTTATACAGAAAAACTTCTTCTTCTTCTTCCTTGGTGGCCTAAGGCCTTAATGGTCTCGGTTTCAATGTCCATGCGCTTCACGAAGCCATCCACCCATAGACACGTGAATTTTCCAAATCTTGGATCATCCACTAAATGTATTGTACAAATCACAAAATACCTCGCTAGAAGGTCAAAGCTTGCGATATTGTCCAAAAATACAGGTATATTTCTATACTCGGAATTCAATTTTGTCCCTCCTGGGTCAAACCAGCTATGTTTCAAACTTTTCATCGAGCAATGTCCCAGACATGTAAGTGCGATGCACCACACACGAAAGACAGAAACAGAAAAACTAATTGGTTGTAAAGATAACTAATAATAATTTTTATGTATTTGACCTACTGCAAGTGTCATTATAAGTGTGGCGTTTTTCTATAAAAATAATTTACTTTTATAA